CCCACGAACCTGAACTGGCCGTCGGGGGCGCAGGCCCCGAATCGTGGCGTCCCCCGATTCGGTCCTGGCCTTCGGAACACAGGCAGACAAGTGAGGGGGACATCTCCACCGCTCGGTTGCGCCCAGGATTCGGGCACCTAGTCTGGAAGGGCGTCCCCAGATCCAGGGTCTAGGTGTACGGGAGTCGGCTGACGTGGGCCCACGGTTTACGGAACAGCCAACCAAGGTACGGGGGTCAGGAGAGGAGCCGAAGAGCCAGAGGCGAGGGCCTCCCAGGAAGGAGGGTCAGGCAGTGACTTACCCCAAGGATTAAGGCCGGTGGTGGGTGTGAGGCGTCTGCAATGGAGAGGAGAGGTCCCAGGGACGAGAAGGCGGCCCCGGCGCCAGGGGACACAGCCTTCCCGGGTTTGCGGCACCAAGATGAAAGGTTCGGCGCGGTAAAGACAAGGAGAGCCAGGCTAAATTTCTCAAAGGGAGGGAAAGTTTATTGTGCCCCGGGCGGACCTCACAGACCCAAGGCGGGGGACAGTGCAGTCGCACACGTTGTTAGGGGGAAGCAGGGTTTTATAGGGCGAGGAGAGGTCAGGTGGGAAGTTGGGCTCGTAGGGCAGGAAAAGTTTGTAGGGCAGGTAGAGGTTCTTTGTCTGAGAGGAGACTCGTAGGGGGAGGGGGGAGGCTCATTGCCTGAATCCTCCAGGCAGGTATCCGCATTCCTGCCCCCCAGGTGGGCTTTCTGGTTGGCTCCTGCATTCAGGCCTCCTGCATGGACCTTTCAGTGAGGACATTGAAGTGCAAGTCCACAGCTCATTCTGAAACAGCCAGGAAGGGGCTATGGGGGAGGTACAGCATCGAAAGGACAATAGCCAACAGAGGACAGGTCACTGTGGTTCTCACCCACATGCACCGTTGCAGGACCACTCAGGCTCAGGGAACAACAACAATAGAATATATTTAATGGGGGGAAACAAAGAATTTAAGGCACAAATGGCCGACTAGCTTTACCCCAGGTAGTATCCACAAGAGTTCAGCAGTCCTAAACAAAAGGCCCTCATCCAAGATAGGGCTGTCCTGTCAATGAAGGCCTGGAGCCCATGGCAGCCACCAAGCAGCAGGCCAGGGTCCAACTCGCTGTTGCTGGAGGTGCTCACAGGTGGGGCTCCTGAGGTGATGCCACTGCCCATCCACAGTGTGAAGGTCGGTATGGACAGCACCAGACACTAGGCCAGACAGCACCAAGGCGGTGACACTGGGAGGTGGTGCCTGATGAGCAGGAGCGCTTAACAGCTCTCAAAAATGACCCGGATACAGTGCTGGTCACCCATCAACAGTGCCAGGCAGCACTTGCCAGTAGTGCCAGTCACCACCTGTCACTAAGACTTGGTGTCAGAAACACCAGCATCAGCGCAGCTCTGTGAGACACTGGCCCAGGGCCTGGGCGCTCTTTCCAGGCCAAGTCAGAGGCAGGGCTGAGGGCAGCAGCCCCCAGCCTCTGCGAAGCTCTTTTGCTTCTTTCTTTTCTTCAGATGTCAGGGGCAGGGCGCGCTTCAGGCACACGGCACATCCAAGTTTATCCCAAGCCAGCTCCTGTCTTATATCCTCTTTCTGGTCCCCCACCTACAGGTCTGATTGGGCCGTTTTCAATCATATGGCTGATTGGACCGTTCATCCATCAGCTCATAGCTTGTACCTGCTCGGGCCATTCCAGGATCCAGGCACCCAATCCACAGGCTTCTCTACTGCCTGAAGCTGGAGGGAGCACAGCACTGGAGCTGGCCCAGTGGAGCCCCACACCCCTGCCTGCACCCCTGAACAATAGGCTGCCTGCCTGGGGCAGCGTGGTAGAGGAACCACTACAGTCCTCTGCAGCCTGAGTCCAGTGGGGCCCTGAATGGTCAGCAGTAAAATGCCCACCACGCCCTGCCGCTTGCACTGCTGGCAAGCAGCTTCTGGGGCCAGCTCTGGGGGTGGGGCTGCCCACAGGCAGCAACTCCTGGCACCGGTGGAAACTGCTTTTCCAGGGGCTCTGGGGCTTGTTTCCATGCAAGATGCAGGTGAGCAGCCACAGCCCTGGTGCCAGCGTGTGCCCAGCCCCTCGCCCAGGCTGTATCACTAACCCCCAGTGGTTCTGCTTTACCATGTCCAGCATGAGATTCAAGAATCTGCCTTTTTAAATAAGTATCTTGTTAATGCAGATGCAGGGAGTCTGGGGACTATGCTTTGAGAATAACCTGTCTGTATTAATAATACAGTACATAACAGTCCTGGAACAGCAACAGAGTTCACCAACCTTTATTAATTGAAAAAAAAAAAAAAGTTTATTAAGAATCTCCTCTGAGCCAGCCAGTGGATGAAACAGAAGAAAACCCTGTTCTTCCTTTAAGAAGCTGGAGTGACAGCTGGGGTGAGGTCAGAAACCATGATGCAAGCCTATTTAAGCCATAGTGGGGGACGCAAAGAAATGAGGATTCATCTTTACTGGGAGTGGATTGAAAGACCAAGACACGGTAAAAGGGTGACTTGTGGCCTTGGAACTGTGGCCAAGTGAGCCAAGGCACAGAGGATGCAGCTTGCAGATGGAAGCTCAGGGCAGCTGGGTGAGGGCAAGCTGGGAAGATAACCCAACCCCCAGTGGAGCAGGGATCTGGACAAAGTGATGGGGTCTCAGAAGATACATTGGAAGCACATAATTTCACCAATAATTGTATGATAAGGCAATCATCTATGGTATTAAAAAAAATGATTTATCTAAGTTGGATTCTCTGAATTTGAGTTCATTCTAGGTTATTTTTAAAACAAGTGTAGAGGAGACTAGTCCTTTCAGAAGTTAAAACATGCATTGAAGCCTCTGAAACTCAAATTGGGGGGCTGGGGCACAGACCAGAATCGAGTGGAATGGCATGTGTAAAACTAGACCCCAACATAAAGGGAACTTTATGAGAAAGAGGTATCGCCAATCTCCGGGACAAAGATGGGCTTTTTCAAAGACCATGTTGGGGCAACTGGCTAACAGTTTGGAAAAAGCTAAAGTACATCTATTCCTCATACTGCAAATAAAACAACTCCAAGTAGACTGGAGATCTAAATAAAATGTGGAATTTTATATGCCAGGGAAGAATGTGTGGCTCAATTCTTCCTTACAGTCTGGGTGTGGAAGAAGCTCTATGACAAAAGCAATTGAAGAAAGTGTTGATAAAATTGACTACCAAGAAATAAGACATTAAATTTTGCATATCAACAAAGTCAAAAAACAAATCAAAGGTTGTGATAAAATGTTCAACATTTGTCCTGCGTTGATAGCTCTAAATAAATGTATTTTTAATAAAAAATACCAAGACCAAAAATGGGCAAAAGGCGCGAGTAAGACGGTTCACACACACAGAAATAATGATCAGCTTTTACCATAAAAAATTAATTGAAATCAAAATGCCATTTCTCATCGGAGTGTCAACTCAAAAGTTTGACAGAGTAGTCTGCTCTGGAGGTTATGGGGCGGTCACGTTCATGCATTGCAGGTGACAAATGCAAAATGGTGCCACCGTGGAAGGCGTACTAGACAAGGACAAAATTATGTCTTCATCCAGTGTTTCCACTTCTAGAAACTTACCTGCAGACACTCCTTTACAGTACCTCAGTACACAGGCACAGTTTGTTTGTTGATTGTGGTATGACAGGTAATGTTTCTGCAGACCCCATCGCGGTGCTAAAAATACACATCTGTTATCCTAAAAAGATCTGCTTCTAAGGGATACCAGGTAGGGAATTCAGAAGCTGGTACCACTACAGGTTTATGTGGAAATTTAAAATACAGCATGTAAGAAGTTTTAATACTGTCTAAAACTTTTTATTTTAAAAAATCAATTTTCAGACATGACATGAATAAATGATCATCCAAGAGTTAAGAACACTTTTCTTCTAGAAATGATAAAAGTTATGGATTCACTGGAATGCCCTCAAAAATCTACTTAATTCCTAATGCTGCTAAATAATTCTTAGGGAAAATTTATTTTGAGCCAACTTTCAACAGCAGTAATATTGGGTTGTCGGAAAAGTCATGATGTATTTTTTCAAGCAAAAATGCATCATGCCTTTTCCAACAATCTAATAGATTTTGATCTCCTCCTGTCTCCTTCCATGCAGTTCACAAATGGTCTGTTTTTCTCTTTGTAGCCAAGCCCACAAGAGCCATTGGGAAGCCAAAGGCCTTTCTATTAGGGAGGAGCCATCTGGCAACCTGGCAGGAAGCTAGGTTCTAACTGGTTGGGACTGTTAGCCTGCCCTTCCCAGGTGTGACCATTGTAGTTACAGTGTTTCTTCCTTAGCATGTTAGCCCATGATCAGAATTACTGAGAAGTGGATAAATACATTAGGATTCTTAGAGGGAAGATGTTTGCATGACAACTAGGACATGACATGAAGTCCATGCCGTAAACATCCTGCTTTGTCTAATGAGCTGCCCTAATGTCCTTGGAATTTGGATTTTACACTGCTTACTGTTTGTACCCACTCACTATGCTTTCAGTTTAAAGTAAGTTAATGTGTCCATTTAAAAGAGTTGTGAATGACTCATCTCACGCATAAATATTGTTAACTCTTACATGTAAAATCTTAACCATCCATGGCTCTGTGGTGAAATTGTCAATATTGATACATGTTCTTAATGGCACTTTGGATTTTAGCAAAAGAAAAATTAAGAATGGGGAAATCTTAACATTTTTTACACTCAAAGAAGGTATTTTGCAAACTTACCTTGAGCAGTTTGTCAATGCCACAGGTCTTTGGCATAAATCATCAAGGCTTCTACAGAAGCTGGACTTATTTCTGCATTTGCTCATGAGTAAAAATGGCTTGGATTGCATTTGAAAGGTGCTTTAGAGTTGGCTGCAGGCAGGGCCCTGATAGTTTGTTGTTGCTTACAGATTATGTTCAACTTCATTGTGATGTTATTGCAGATGTGTCATCTTTCTCATTGTTGTCTCTTGTTTTTCTTTCTTTTTTTCCAGTTCTTCCTCCAGTGCTGGTTCCAAGACACAGTGAATATAACCCTCAGCATAGCCTCTTAGCTCAGTTCCGTAACCTAGGACAGAACGAGCCTCACATGCCACTCAACGCCACTTTTCCCGATTCTTTCCAGCAACCCAACAGCCATCCATTTCCTCATTCTCCCAACAGCAGTTACCCAAACTCTCCTGGGGGCAGCAGCAGTACCTACCCTCATTCTCCCACCAGCTCGGACCCAGGAAGCCCTTTTCAGATGCCAGGTAGGTTGGCTTGTTCCGTGATGTTCTGTGTTCGGATGTTATCTCGGGGCTCAGGAGGAGCTGGGTACACACTGGGTCCTCGGATCATATCATCTCGTGCAGTGTCATTTCATTGTAACTTTGATGAGGAAAAAAATCCCAGCCCACCTGACTAAAATGGTGGTGTTTGTGGACTTGCTTCTGTTACATGTCTTTTCACTTAAAATTGTAGTTTCTAAAAACCTATCAAAGATGCTAAGTGAGGACTCTCTGTGACTGGCAAGGAGGGACTTTGCAGCTCTCGTGGGTGGCAGTGTGCTCTAGAACCCCGGGTGGGACTTTGGGTGAAGGTAAGCTGAACCCAGCACAGGTGTTTGAGTATGTTTTATTTTGAAAGGTTTCGAAACAACTGCCTTTCTGAGGGTGGCGTATTTGTTACAGCCTTTGCTCTTGATAAAAGAGAAAGAGAAGAATAGCATGAGCAACCTCAGAAGTGGTAGTTCCTGAGGGAGCGCACCCCTCTCCTTAATTAAATTCATTTAAGTGGTGATGTAATTCCAAGAAACATAGACTCTACCAAAGGAGTTACAACCCAGGTACTGGAAATGGTCTGCTCCTTTAACCACGTAAATACAAAAAAGAAAAAAAAAAACAATAATCTTTCTTATTTAGATTTAACTGATGGTGTAATTAATTATCAAAATTAGTGATATAGGACATGGTTATTTTTCAGATTATGGGTTAATAAGCAAGCAACTAAAAAAAATGATCTGTTCCGTATTTCTTGCCAGTAGACCTCAAGGAGGATACTCTAAACAAAGATGTACTTGACAGCTATTAACATTTCAAGAAGGGAAAATGCCTGGCCACCATGTTCATGGGGCTGCTTGAGATGTTTTTAAGTAAATTTGAATTCAATGGCAGTGCTGGTGTGTCCTCAACACTTGAAAAATGATGTACCCCTGCTGCTGCTGGCTTTTATTTTAGCCTGTTCACTGGCACTGCTTGGCTTGTTTTTCAATCTAAAAACTGTTTCAGATGAGAGTAGATGATAGTTTGCTTTAAAAATTAAACTGGTGGGCCTCCCCGGTGGCGCAGTGGTTGAGCGCTGGGTTGCGAAGCTGCCCGCGGCCTCTGCAGCTCCGGTTCGATCCCCAGCTGCTCCCCGGCCACCGGAGGAGGGTCCCACATGGCGGCAGACTTCTCCTGCCGCCCGCTGCTCCCCTCAGCAGTGTACTTCGGTCCTTCTGCCTGCTCTGCTCCCCGCTCTGGCTCTGGTGAATTCTCTCACCCTCCCGTGCTTCTGACTGTACCCAGTGCATGTATAAACAAAACAAACAAACAAACAAATAAATAAATAAAATAAAACATGCCTCTATTGAAAAAAAAAAATTTAAAAAATAAAAAAATAAAAAAAAAAATAAAAATTAAACTGGTATTCATGGTCCATGACTGCCCACTCCCCATCCACCATGCCACACCCCTGTAGACCCGCAGGGTTCGATGAATAGGCTGGTGGTGAGACGGGTGAGCAGCTTCCGAGCAGCAGCAAACCTCGGCAGGGGTGGCCAAGAGTGAGCAAATGAAGACGCTTGCTTGTTTTTACACTTTAGGTGAAGGCACAGGCCAAGTAAGAAATGGGGAGCAGAGAGCATTGCAAGGGGTGCAGGAGGCGCATGTGGGAATGGGTGGTCTCGGACCACCAGTGGCCTGCTGTCCCCCTTGTGGGTGCTCATGCCCAGGCGCCCGGGGAATTCTCACTGGCTTGTTTGCCGAAATGCGTGGGATTTGGTGTCAGAAAAGGCCCTCACTTCTATCTGCTAGAAGCGTATAGCAGCGCCAGCATCATGGCTGCAGGCAAGCTGCGGAGTTAAAAGGAGCTGGAAAGGGACGAAAAAGCACCCACCCAGGCTCCCACGGCCACCTGTGTCTGTGCTCCAGTCGCAGCTGGAGGGTGACGGTGCTGGGGTCAGCCGAGAAGCCGCAGGAGCAGCATTTGCTGCTCTGTTCGGCTGTTGCTTCTCCAAGTTGCCCGCGGTGCCCTGTGGTTTCACTCGGTCCCTGTTCTGGCCTGTGTGTTCCGTGGGCTCACGAGAGCCAGTGAGGAGCTTGTTTTTTTGACCCCAAAGGATTGTCATGGGAAACCCTTTATTTAAGACAACGTGAGGCTTTTGCAGGTGTCTTTGTTTCTAAAATCATTATTGTTGACTTCTTGTCGGCCAGCTGGCTGTGTGCTTTCCAGAAGAAACATACATGTGAATCCTGAAATAGGAGATAGCCATGATAAGCAGCTCTCATTAGGGATTTTCAAACTAGCAATTATAGGTGGGTGGGGAGGAGGCAGTGCTGACAGGTTGCTTGAAGTCATGGAAGTGGCCCGTTCAGGTCAGCAGGTTGGTTGTAATGAAATGCAGGTGGCAAATTCCCGGGAGCTCATCGGTTTAACGCAAGAGACCCTGAAGCTCGATGTTTAGTTGTGTGTTTTGAAGAAGCCTGTGGTGGCTTCCAGAAGTGATCCATCTGCCAGGGAAACTATGAAATGCGAGGTGCTCTCAAGGTGCATTACATGAAAGTATGTTTAAGTGCTGAGACTGTTTAAAATGGCACCATCCCAGACAGGCAGACACTTCCGGAACTTGCATCTGATGCTTTCTCCCCGCTGATTCTTCACTAAAATGGTGTGAGGTTGTGAAATGGTAGTAATTTTCAGAAATTCAACATCAAAAATCCAGTGTCTGGGGCCTCCAGTCCTCTGATGGGGTAGGGTTGGGGGTTGGGGGTGTTGAAATGGCAACTTAATCCCTTAAGAATTTCAGCTCAGAAGAGAATATATGTTTTTTAGATGTACTTGTTAAGGATGAAAAATATTTTTTTTTTATTACTGTGTAGCCGATACGCCCCCACCTGCTTACCTGCCCCCTGAAGATTCCATGACCCAGGACGGCTCTCAGCCAATGGACACAAATATGATGGCACCTTCACTGCCCTCAGAAATCAACAGAGGAGGTGAGATGAGCTGCTGCAGCTCCCTTTCCAGAGTCTAAATTTTATCTGCTGAAATGTTACTTTCTCTCACAAATCCTTTAAAATGATAGCTGTGTGAGAAAGAATACAGTAAGAGGAGCTTGATCAAATTTTTTGGATAATAAATAGGTCTTTTATAGGAAAAAAAAACATACTGATTCAACTGGTATAGACCTTAGTGTAATTGTACAGGCATCTCTTTAGAGCTTCAGGACTTGGTAAGTTTGACTTGGTGAGGAGAATATCTTTGAGTGAGAAGGACAGAGGAGTATTGAGAAACAGTGAGGATAATAATGCTGAAGGAGAGTTTTCACTGGTGATTTCCAACATTGCAAGTGTGTACAATTGAGGCTTTCCAAAAGGCTCTTTTGTCATTAGGGTAATTAGTCATGAGCTGTCTGTTTTCCAGCTTTCTCATCCACATATAGCTGCAACTGGAACAAACGGGTGGCATTTCTTTCTTTCTTTCCTACTGTTTGTTTCTAGGCTTGTGATCAAGAGGCACGTTTTTCCTCTGCTCACCCAGAGGGACTTAAAGCAGGACTGAACACTTCTTTCCCTCTCTAGTGGAGGGCGGCTCTCTTCTCAGCACTGTGTCATGCCCCACAGTGGGGCAGGATCTGTCATCCATCCAGGTCTGCAGTGGCTTATTGAGTTGGCTTAAGTGAGCAGAGACTGTCGATAGGAAGCCTCACTGTTGAACAAAACTATTTCTAAATCACCTCTCCTGGAGGAGAGCTCTTTGCCCTCAGCTCCTGACATGGATAATTCTGTTTGTATAAATCTTATGCAAGTTGGAGTAATCCATTGGGTTGCTCAGTAGGTATTATTTCATTTGATCATTTTTTTTTTTACATTGAAATTGGAGATAACTCCGACGTGGGGCAAGTCCCTTATATTTTTTAAGTTCTTAAAATGTGCTGGTGAACTCTTGCGAACCTTTCTTACATGAGCATTGTAATAAATTGAACCGTCACCTGCTTCGTCCATAAAAATATGTTGTATCCTTCTTATTGACCCTGTGTTTTTTGGTTCTTGATCATTTCTAGAACATTCTCTCAACATATTATGAGCCAATAAGTCAAGAATTTAGTTGGGGAAAAGAACTCCAATCTCACACATCAGGGACTTGTGTTTGGGAATGGGAGAGCAGGAGAGAAGGGACCACCCAGCAGGACGACACAGTTAAAGCACTATGACTCTATAGCTGTTGTTCGGCCCAAAAATGTCTTAGCTCAAGAAATAGACCTTCAGGGCCTCCCTGGTGATGCAAGGGGTTAGGGCACAACCTATGAAGCTATCCACAGCCTCTGCAGTACAAGTTCGCTCCCCGGCCAGCCAGGGAGCAACCCACATGGCACAGCAGACCTCGCCTGACTTGCCCGCTTGCTCCCCTCAGCAGTGTATTTCGGTCAGTCTGCCTGTTCTGTTCCCCACTCTGTCTCTGGTGAATCCTCTCACCCCCCGCACCTCTGGCCTATACCCCAGCTCTTATATGCATAAATAAATAAATCTTTAAAAAAGAAAAGAAAGAAATAGACCTTCAAATTGTTTTAACATTTTTCCTTTACATACCTTAAAAAATGCTCCCCATTGGAGTAAGTTTACAGTCATTTCATATTTTCATGAGAAAGGAATGTTGACCTTTCTGTTGACTTACCTGTGTTGATCCTCCTGAAGCAGAGGTCAACAGACCAGAGCCACAGACCAGTTCACCTTGTTTTTGTAAATAAAGCTTTATCAGAACCCAGCTGGGTCATTCCTTACATAGCCTCTGTAGCTTCTTTTTCACTAATTGGGCTCAGCTGAATAATTGCAGTAGAGACCAGAGAACCCACAAAACCCCCCTGGCCTTTTACAGGAAAAACTGGTCAACCTCTCAACTCCACAAATAGTGTTTTGAACAATCCTGGTAGCTGTTAAAAGCCTTCTATCGATGATGTTGCAGCTTCGTTTTGGCACTTGCAAATCACTAAAAGTTTGCTCCTTGAAATACAGCAGATTGACCTTGGAGAGTTGGTTGGTAAAAAGGGACAATAGCGTATGATTTTTCTTGCCCTATTTGCTGAAATATATAAAGCAACTAATATATGAGTGGATTTTTAAAATGGTCCTTTTCCTTGTTTTCTTTACCAAAATCTAAAGTAAAGCACTTCTGTGGTGGTTGAGAGACTTATCCCTGCAACGTTACAGGTCATACTCCTAGTGGGTTTTTTTTTTTTTGGGGGGGGGGGTTACTCTCTTTCCTTTTTTTCCCTACTAACTATGCACTCAAGACTGCATGCACCTCCAGTCATTACGTATTGGCTTGTGAGCATATATCCACTCCTGGGATCTCTCACCCAGTGGCATCTACAGAAGGAACTTATCTTTGAAAGCTTTTAGTTGCAAATGTTTAGAAGCATGTTCTGTTTGGAGATTTGTTAGTCTTAAGAGATTTGACTTAACAAGCTGCATCCTGTCAGTGGAGTTGGGTAATTTCCATTGTTGGCCCATTCTGGGAATGGAGAGACAAAACACACCTGCTCTACATGACATAAAGCAAATAGAAGGAAGTTAGCATGAAATCTGGATGAGAGAGATATGATTCATTCTGCAAGAATGGCCAGCTGGCAAGATTTCTCCCCACGTCTGAGGACTGCAGCACAGTTGGAGCTATGATAGTTATTAGCAATTTGATGTGAAGTAAAGTAACTTCTCATCGATCATTAGAAACTGATTTCCATTGCTTGGGAAAGTATAGGCTTTGTTGAAAGTCACTCCTTTCCATGCCAGCACCTTTGGCAAATTTCCTAACCTCTCTTGTTCTCTTCCCACTTATTTTTTTTCCCATTTGGCACTTGTTGTGTTTCTTTAGATGGTGAGCCAGGGTCTATGGCGGGGTGGTTCCACTTGGGCTTATCACGGAGCAGATAGCACAGTGTGAAAGCCCAGCAGATGTGGTGGGACCTTGCTTGCTGGCATTTGGGTTATCTGCTAGTACCCTGCGGAAATGATTTCCGAATGAAAGGAGAGTGTTGTACTTGGTCAGCAGTACCTGCTCTACACCTCTTAGAGAAACTACGTCCATTATAATAGCAGTCGCTTTGCTGTTTCTTCATTCCATGGTTCTGAGCCAAATTTACAGCACAGTTTCAGTTTTTGAGAGCCCAAGGTAGTGACCATGGTTGACTATAAGCTTTTCTTTCTCCCAGATGTTCAGGCGGTTGCTTATGAAGAACCAAAACACTGGTGCTCCATTGTCTACTATGAGCTCAACAATCGTGTGGGCGAAGCATTCCAAGCCTCCTCTACGAGTGTGCTGGTGGATGGTTTCACTGATCCTTCCAACAACAAGAACCGTTTCTGCCTTGGGCTGCTCTCCAACGTTAACCGGAATTCCACTATTGAAAACACAAGGCGGCATATCGGAAAAGGTGAGTTTCCACTTTAGCCTCTTTTGAATGTTTGTCTCCTGTGTCCTTGTTCTCTTTCCCTAGCAAACCAGCATAGCAAACACCAGATAATTTCCACCTGGTGCCGGGTGTTAGTAATTTTCCACTTTGTGTCATCAAAAAGTTCTTTGCTTTCTGTTCAGTGATCACTGCAGGTTACCACCTCATCATAATGGTTATCAATTAGCTGAACTAGAATTTGCTGTTTGGGAATGCTATTCTGTCTTAGGTGTGCTGCAGAAGAAAATAGCTGTAAACAATAACTTACACCTAAAACTAAAAGCAAATTAAAATAAATAAACCTAGAGTAGTTCAAATAAGTATCATAACTCACTGGAGGGAAGAAACAATCCAGAGTAAATCCTGAACTCTTTTTAATAGACTTATCTAGTGGCAGTATGAGTGATGTAGTTAAGAAACTTTTAGATGTATTATAAGATTAGGCAAATGTGGCTATATGTGTGAATGGTGGTGGGGGCCTGCTGGGGCTCCACTGCGGGGGAGGAGGCAAGCATGCATGGAGTGGGCAACAGGTAAGCCCTCGGGGTATCAATGTGGAATCATGACTTGATTATACATAGTGTATATGCACATTTATACATCTCAAGCGTGTGTGTGCGCCTGTGCGTGTGTTCGTGTGTCTGTACGTGCACATAGATCTATCTGCTGAAAGGCTCAAAGGCAAAGATACCCAGCAGCAAGAAGCACATTTAGCACTCAGATTATCATCTCTCACATCATTTCTCACTGAGAGGAACCTGGGCTCCTTGGGGCAAGGCCTGATTCCAAAGTGGGACTTTGCTAAGTCAGAAATTAAAGAAATGCTTATGAAAATATTGGAGGCACATCATGGGAGCCAACTTGGAAAGGCTTCCACCTGCCAACTCTGGGGAAATTTGAGCATGAAAATAATTAAGTAATTGCTCTTCCCTTTTGCAATCATCTCTGACGCACCAGTGGCCAAAATGAAGTTCAGTCCCTTTGTGACATCTGACAGGAGCTAGAACCGTCAGAGGCCTCCCAGTGCACCTTCCCCCATCCATAGGGACACCACGTCACCCCCTCTTTCCAAAGAGCTGAGACAAAAGTATAATGCCCAGCTCATACCCATCGGGAAGAATGGTAGCCTTGAGGTTGTTCGAGAACATGACAAAGAGCAGGACGTGGCAGAGTGGCCCAGGTGTGCAGGAAGAAGTACATCACCTGCATGGAACAGGTGCAGCAGGAGGAGCAAATGGCTCAGCCGTTCATGGGGGCTTCACCCAGCAAGGGAGTCATTGCTGGAATAAAACTGGAGAGAGACCACACCCAGATCCTAGACCACCAAGCAGGGAAGTAAAAGGGCAGCTCCAAGGAAGAAACAGTTGAGATGCAGAAATAACGTGGTCTTGTGTACACTTTTCATTACACACTGCTAACAGCAGTTGTACCAATTGACACATAAAACCTAAAATCACACTAATGTAGAATAAAAGCAGGAATAAGATAAATACACAGCTATAAGAAATGGTTCCCGGGGAGGGGCTTGATGGGGTCACCCTCTTCACCCACAGTGCCTGCTACCCCTGAGCCCTCTGCTCAGAGCAAACGCTGATACCACTGCACTTTTCTCCATTCGTTGTAAAAATCCTCTGCAGGTGTTTTCTGTTAGTGAAAACAGGTACTAATACAGGTCTTCTTAAAAGCAAAGTAGAGTAACAGGAACTTTCAAAACAGGGGTATTGGCAGCGCTAAGATCCTGTGGCTGTGTAAGGTAATATCCCTATTACTGGGAACTTCACACGCTAGTATTTAGGGTGAAGGGCTGTGACGAAATGGTTCTGGAAGAAATCATACAAATATAGATGTCTATGTGTTTATATGTATATACATTCACCCATGTAAAACAATCTCATGTCAGAATATATACACAGACACACACATAGATAGTAAAGGCGTGCGTGTGTGTAGTGTGTATGTGAGGGTATGTGTGGAGGGCTAAAAGGGAGGGAGGTGCCAATGGAGTAAATTGTTATAATAGACAAATCTGGATAATACTTATTTGGGTGACATTTGTTTTGTTTTTCTTTGTTGTTTGTTCTATTTTAAACTTTTCTGTAAATTTGAAATTATTTCCAAAGTAAAGGTTTTTAAAAATGACCTAATTAATATGAAATTTAGAACAGTGGACCAAATTAAAAGGTTTTTTAAATAGATAAATTAAATGGATTAATTAAAGGTTTTTGAAAGCTATTTGAGATAAAGTTTAGCATTTATAAATCCCCAAAAAAATCAACAAACAGAAGAACAACTCTTAGAACAGGAAGTTCCGTAATATGATTAAAGATATTAAACTGCTCTTGATAACAAGGTGCTAGAACTTAAGGTACATACCATACAGACATCTCTCTATGGTCTATAAACCCTTGAAACTGTATAGAAACACGATTTTTGATACATTGAATTGTAGAGGTGACCATTACTCCAAAGTAGTTAACAGCCATTGTATTCTGAAACATTCCTATTAAAAAATAGGAATAGGGAGAAAGTAAGGATTCTGGAAACATTGTTATTTAAAGTTATTCCTGATGTCCTGACTAGTCTACCCAGTTGCAGAATTGGAGATCATGGAAAGAAGCCAAAATTATCATTTTCAGATGATCTGATTAACTAATTGATAATAGTCTTACATAAATTCTTAAAGTAAGTAGGTCAGAAGCTCTTGATATGTTTTACCAGATCTTTCCAGAAAGTTCTTCTTAATTTCCACTGGTACAGTAAGTCTGAGTGCCTTTCCTCCTTCATCCATGTCAGTATTACTTGTGGCTGTGGTATCTATTCAAACAATATGACAGTTTGTCTAGAAACCTCTAAAGAATCTATTTTTATTTTTTTTTAAAGATTTATCTATTTATGCATACAAGCTCTGGGGCACAAGCCAGAGATGCGGGGTGCGAGAGGATCCACCAGAGACTGTAGGGAACAGAACAGGCAAACCGACCGAAGCACACTGCTGAGGGAAGCAGCGGGTGAGCCAGAAAAGGTCTGCTGCACCATGTGGGTTGCTCCCTGGCTGGTGGGGATTGAACTCAGGCTGCAGAGGCTGCGGATTGTTTCATAGTGCGGTGCTCAACCCCCTGTGCCACCAGGGAGGCCCCTAAAGAATCTATTTTTAGAAGCTGTATCTCAGTCTCCTTTAGTCTGGTAAGTCAGAAAATATGGTGGAAAGGAAAATCACTTTCCCAATAGTAACAGAATATGTAAATTTCTTAGAAGTAATCTGACCCAGCAATATGTGAGAATTATGTAAAGAAAACCAAATTTTACTGAGAAAGAATTTGAATAAGTTAATAGGCAGTCAGTGTTCTTCTAAAGAGAAAGCATAATACTGCAAGAATATTTTCAGGACATTACCTCTTTCTAATTTAACCTATGATTTAAAACAATCCGTGTCAGAATCATAATGCGGTGCTTTTTGAAAGTTGGAAAATGTTTTCTGTCACCTGGCTGGATAACAAATCCAAACAGCTAAAATTTTTAAAGAAAGAGAAAAAAATTCTTAACGTTAGGCTTAATAAAAGATTATGAAACAGCAATTAAGTCAGCGTGTAGACAAAACAATAGAATGAATTAAACTCAGACCATTCTGTAGTTAAGATTTTAATGCGAGTTAAGTGAAGCATGAGAAATCAGTGGCGTCTTCTAATGGCTCTTCAGTAACAAAATGAGCTTTGGGGTGCAGCCGAGGGGAGCAACCCTGACCTCATTCCATATATGCAGTTAGATTAATAAGTTGAATTTTTTTTCCTAAAGACAAGCTGTTGAAAGGCTGGAAGAAAATGCATTTGATCAAAGAGGAGGAAACTTTTTAAGCATAAGAAGCAACAGAATAGATCACAAGACATTTGACTACTTAAAGATTTCAAACTTCTGTGGGCTTAAAATAATGCCATGAATAAGATGAAAAGACAGAGGATTAACAGGGAACCAAATAAATAATTTATACCTTTCTTCTATGCACAACTGATAAAAAAAATAATAAAAATACTAGCAACCCATTGGGATAATAGGCAAGAAATAGGAACGGTCGTTCACAAGAGAGACACACCTGGCAAATCGGCCTCTGAGCTGGTATCCAGCCTCCTACACAAATCAATAGTTTTTTCAGCTCTCAATTAGGGAGATTTGGTTTTTGTTTTAAACTCAGACTCTAGACTGGCAACACCACGTGTTGCTGGTGAGCATGTAAATTGAGACAAGCGTTCTGAAAGTGCTTTGGCAAAGGGAAGTAACAGCCTCCCGATCCGGTGATTTAGCTTCCAGGAATCTCTTCTAAGGACATCCAAAATAATCCAGAGACATTTACTGTGGCTTTGTTATAACAGCAGAAAATTAGTAATGGGGAATCATTCAGGAAATTTGTTGTGATTGTATGGTTGTGTGGAAATGTTAAATTTTTTTTTTACATGTACTTCCTTTATTTTTTAATTTAAATTTTATTTTTATATTCCCCATACAATTGCAACCCCCTTATTTTGACCCCAATCCCTCCTTTCCCCGCCCCCCATCCCCCATAGAGTGTCTCTGGTTCATAGTTGTTTGTTGATTTTGATATTTTCTTTCTTTTAGTTATTCTTTTTCCTGGTCCCTTATTTAAGTTTTCTAGATTCCTGCTATGAGTGAGACCATCCGGTATTTTTTCTTTTTCTTTCTGGCTTATTTCGCTGAGCATGATCCCTTCCAGCGCCATCCATGTTGCTGGAAATGGCATGTGTTTATCTTTTTTGAATGCTGAGTAATATTCCATGGTGTATATGTACCACATCTTCTTGATCCAGTCATCTATTTTTGGGCATTTGGGTTGTTTCCAAAGCTTAGCAATAACAGGAAATGTTAAATGTTTGACAAGAAAGCTTGGTGACACTCAAGACCAAATTCAGTATGTCAGGTGATTGAGGGTCCTTACCTGTAGACCACTAAAGAAAGGAGAGACAGTGTTTTCTGCTTCTTTGTATTTTGTTGTACTTTCTAAATTTTGTCAAATGAAGGTTCCTGATTTTGTAATCAGAGGGAGAAGTGTCTCTGTCTCTCTGTCTGTCTGTCTGTCTGTCTCTCTCTCTCTCTCTCTCTCTGTCTCCCTGTGTCTCACTCAAATTACACAAAACAGAAAATTGGGCTTCAGCCCCAGCAGCTGTTTCTTTGTTGCTGAACTCTGAGCCACACATGTACTTAAGTCACACCACATAATATTTCTAAGAGACAGTCATTTTCAGCATTTACTCAGCCCCGCTGAGGTTACCTGCAAGGGACACATGGGATGCAACTCTTGGCTGGGTGGCCTGGAATAAAGTCATCTTCTTTAGTGGGTGGGGGCTTTGCCAGAATGGTTTCCCCCTCTTTCCTTTTTTTATTTTTTTAAAGTCTGAGTAGATAGGTTTCCTGCGCTCCTGGCACTCTGCACCTCACTGGGAAAGGTTGGGAGCAGATGGCAGTTCAGTGAGATCAGATTCCTCTCAGTATGAATTATTTTTCTGGTTTCTTTTTCCTGGATCTTACAACTCTCAGGAATACTTCCTCCACCTGTAGTTTTCTATTTAGTTCTTTTATTTCTTCTCTTGATCCTTCCTTCTCCTACCCTACAGTTTTTAGCTGCAAAATAAATGCAAGAGCTTGGATGGATATGCATTGGGATTGCATCATAAAGACCAGCTTTATTTTGCTGTATCTTTAAAGTTAGAATCTGTACTTTCCATCCATAGTCAAATAGGGCATTAAACACTTGTCAAAATGAAATTGCTGTGGTTTGTTGCTGGTATTCATATTTCCTAGAAACCTAGATGTGCATACGGGACATTGTATTAACTAATCCAGTTAGCTGAGATTTCTTTCAATTGTGCAAGACTTTGAGGAAACCTTTTTCTTTAATTAGCCAGAGTTTGAATTCAGGTAAATTGATAAATTGAAGCTACACAGATATTTTTTCATGTGGAAAAGACAGTCTTTTCAAATAGTAATGCCTTAAATTCCATGCACTGTCTTCCTGCAGGCGTTCACCTTTATTATGTTGGAGGGGAGGTATATGCCGAGTGCCTGAGCGACAGCAGCATCTTTGTGCAAAGTCGGAACTGCAACTATCATCATGGATTTCACCCCACGACAGTTTGCAAGATCCCTAGTGGGTGTAGTTTGAAAATTTTTAATAACCAAGAATTTGCTCAGTTATTGGCACAGTCGGTGAACCATGGCTTCGAGACAGTCTACGAGCTCACAAAAATGTGTACTATACGAATGAGCTTCGTGAAGGTGGGTAGCTGGGATTCCTCCGGTTGGGGCTTATCACATTTTTGTCATGCTTCCTCCCAACATATTGACCTATTTGCTCTTAATAGGTGTCTGTACAAGCCACCTTATTACTCCGGCACTGATAAACTTTAACCAGGATGTTGATTTGTTAAGAGAATATCAATTGAATATGGAAGTATTTGTTTAAAACGCCAATAGTTTTAATAACTTTTCCTTAGTGAGATAACACCATTTTAGCCATCACAATACCATTAGAATATGTTCTGTTATATATTTAGCATAAATGATTTATTTTTTTTTTCCAACCTCCACTAAACCACCCACACCCATCTGCCTCTGCCATCTAGGAGGTGGGGATGGGAGGCAGATAGTATAGATAACGGAAAGGCATGGTTGTTGTATGAGATCAGCTCAGCAAATACACCTCACTCCTTTTCACTCTGTTTTTAGAATTTTTCTGATGGTTAACTTTCATTTGCTTGTGTTTCAACAACATGCAAGTGATCTTTATGTAAAAATAAAGGTTCAGGCTGCTAAAACTTATTTTTGATTGGTCAGGTTTCTTAGTGGTTCTGGTAAACCTCATGATGTTCTTATAATTCAAAAGTTAATAAGGCCCCTGCCCAGAGATAAGTGGCTGCCCAAGCTCCAGATTGTACTGTGAGGTGGGAGGAGTGGGGAAGGCTAAAGACATTACTCACAGTAATTGTGCTCTGTGCAACCTCCTCTTCTGCTTCTGAGAAATACACATTTTTAACATGCCATCGAAATATTAAAAAAAAAATTAAACATCTGATTAGATTTCATGAGTCAGTAAACTTATTCTAGTGGCTGACTGACTTGTCTCTGAATTCTCAAAGATAAATGCTCATCCTCTGTTACCTTGAGAAACAAAACTAATTATATATTTGGGTGAGGCAATCACCTTTCATGTCCTCTCTTTAGAAGCTCATCTGACTTGTTGTGAAACCTGTTTTGTAATGTATTTATTACAGAGGGTAATTTTGGAACTTTGTTAATCATCCTTTAGATCAAAGATACCCTCTCCCAAATACCATTTTTTCCTACTTCTTTAAGTCGTATTAGCACAGCTTCTCTGTGTTCTCTTAGTGTTTGTTTTCTCAAAACATAATCCAATAGTTCTTTGTAGCCAAGTCTTGTTCATTTTCAGCATAGAAGGAGGTTTTGTCCCTTTTAGGAGGGTGACCTATATACCATGTACCTAGGAGACTACAAGACCTTTCTCATGCATTATTAACACCTAGGGCTTAATTTCTGACTGAGCATTTTAGCGAAAATGAATCTTAAAATGAGGACAGTTACTTGTCAATAGCATGTTTGGGTTTTTTTGGTTTGTTTTTTGGTATGGAGATAAGAATCCCTCTTTCAAGAGCTGAGGTCCAGCTTCTAGTCCTCTCTGCCACTTTGTGATCCCCATGTTCACCATCTCTGATGGTGGATGGCATTGGAAGCTGCAGTTATCATGGCTCTCGTGATGCACCTGTTCTTACCCAAGGACCTCTCGAGAAGAGCTCATGACTGTCGCTCTAGTTGGCTTTTTTCCTCAAACTCTTATCGGTCACCCAGTCAATTCTAATGATTTTTCACTTGGACACAATTATTTAGTTTGACATAAGGGAAAAAACAACCATTACACTAATAAAAAGTGTTTATAACACAAGGATATGCATTAAACATTGATTAGATTTCATTCACTCAGCAAATAGTTCAGCAAACTATTCCAGAGAAATAATACAAAGATTAAAAAAGCCCCTGAAGCCTCTAGCTTCCAGATGCTTATGGACTGGTATGTTTTAAGTGTACTGTGATATGACAAGCACAGGAATGGAGATACAAGATACATTAGACATAGCTTTCTGGGAAGCTGGGTTTGGAGAATTAAGGATGAACACATCTATTAAAAACTGCTGCTCGTGTGATAAAAGGAAGCTGCTTATCATACATTAACAATAAAAAATTTGCACACTATTATACATTAGCAACAAATATCTTGCACACTCAACATTCTTTATTATCACGAGGACACATACTTTACCCTCTCACACTTAGCATCTTTATAGAGAAATGATACAGAAAACCTTACATTAATAGCCAATCTTGTGCTATTTTAAAGATGATCATTTTTACTTTAATATAAAACACTTTATAAATTATTTGCATAATAAATTCTCTTGATCCAAACAATCCAAGTGAGTTCAGGTGAACGGTATTTCTAGAGCTCCTGCTTTGTCTTAGTTACTGTGCTAGATGTCAGAGACCAAAAAAAAAAAAGAGAGAGAGATCAATCTGGCCTTCAAAGTTCTCAGTGTCTAATGGGGGCCACATGCCCATAAACATGCCTTGAAATGAAATGTCACAGCTTGTTGATAATTGTACAAACACAGATATGCACACATGTACATGCACATATCTGTACAGAGGGTGTTATGTCCACATGTGCATAAATGGATATACATGTATAACTGTGTAGTTTATATATTACATGACTTTCTCTTAAAAAGTTTTTATATTCAGATACATTTCTTGAAATCCCTGGAGCATGTAGGTAGCAGAGATAACTAATACTGAACCTTCTCTGATATTCCTCATGAAGCAAGTTTTGTCAGATTTCATATTCCATTGTCTACCACGCCAAAAAATTAATGACCTTTCTGTTTTGCTTCATGACTTTCTTTGCAATTTTAGTATTTTAATCAATAATTCTGCAGATGCCTGCAAGCTGTCTTCTTATGCTTCTTATGCAAATGCATAGTGAATGGAAACTGTTGGTCAAGAGAATGGCTTGGTGTCACTTACAGCTTTTTGGATACTCGCTTAGAGATTGAAAAATCAAGAGCTCTGTGCTGATGAGATCTTCAGTGGCTGAATAGGGAAGAAATGTCAATTTGTCTAGTATACCTTTTTTCTTAGGTTCTTGATATTGATTGAAATTGATAAAGTGAGAATTGCTATTACTACATGATCAATATCACTAAGCTATCAATAATGTAATAGACAATGAAAACAAAATGTTAAAACACTCCTATCACGTATTTTAAAACTTTCATTTCCCAAGACAAGGACCTCTTTTTATTATTACTCTTCTTTTCCTTGTTCACATTCTTTGAGGCATTTCAGAAACAAGGCGGTACTCCCCCTACAAGGATGGACTTTAGGGAGCTGGGCACATCCCTCCCCTGAAACTGCTTGCCAAATTGTGTGTGCATTTCTGTGTGTGAACATTTGTTTTTGGAAAGCATCCAGAGCGTAAATCAGAGGGTCCAATTATAAAAGAGTTCACTCTTTTTCTTAATAACTTTCTTTACTGAGTTAAGCAAGTTCAGTGACCTCCACTGTGTTGTTTCTAGGGCTGGGGAGCAGAATACCACCGCCAGGATGTCACTAGCACCCCCTGCTGGATTGAGATCCATCTGCACGGCCCCCTCCAGTGGCTGGATAAAGTTCTCACTCAAATGGGTTCACCTCATAACCCCATTTCATCTGTGTCTTAAACGGCCTCAGGCTTCTGCCTCTTGAAAACTATTGAGCCTTGCATGTACTTGAAGGATGGATGAGTCAGACACAATCGAGAACTGACAAAGGAGCCTTGATAATACTTGACCTCTGTGACCAACTGTTGGATTCAGAAATTTAAAAAAAAAAAAAATGAAAAAAACCTTTGGTGAAATACTGTTGATATCAAGAACCTGTTTAGTTTACAGTGTAACATTCTATTGTAAAATCGGTGAAAATGCAGACTTTTAGCAGGACTTTGTGCATAGTTAGAGGGGAGATGGCCAGGCCAGGGACAAATCAGCTGTTGGAAGACAGTCCTAAGAGCTTCTTGTTTGGCACTTTAAGGTCATCATTGGGCAGAAGTTCAGCATTAATAGTCTTTCTGATGTGTGTTTTTATCAGGTAGAGTCTTCTCATGGGTTTTCATAATATTTTAAAACTGTTTGTTTAGTAATGGTTTTTTTGTTATTTTTTTAAGTAAAGGTTAATCTGAATGATAAACATGGTAATCTTTCTAAAATTGTATGCTGACCATACTGCTGTCAGAATAATGTTAGGCATATGCTCTTTGCTAAATATATATGTACAGAATATTTGGAAGTTAAGAATTGATTAGACTAGTGGATTTAGTATGGGGGGGGTGGGGGGAGAGGGAAATGACAACCGCAAATGTAGAATATACTGTAAAAAATTCAGTTTTTTGCTTTAAAAAAACTGATGTCTGAGTTTTGCTGTGTTTCAATTTTATAGAGATTTTATCCTACTTTTTTTTTTTTTGGCATCTTCTATCCATCCTCTAAAAAAGCAGTTATGCAGCTGGTTAATTCATGTAACTGTGAGAGCAAATGAATAATTCCTGCTATTTGAAATTGACTGTCTATATGTTTTAATACCAATTGTATGGAGTGCTTGGATTTAATAAGCAGTTTTTATGGAGTTTACAGTACAGAAATAGGCTTTAATTTTCAAGTAAATTGTTTGCCAAACCTAGTAACTGTTAAATATTTGGAGGATTTAAAGAACATCTCTGTTTAAATCCATTTCACACTTTTTTAATTTTTTTGTACTATGTTTGGTTTTATTTTCTTCTGCTAATCTTTTATATTCACTTATGCTCTCATACAGAGTACTTTTATTCCAAAACTAGTGGGTTTTCTCTACTGGAAATTTTAAATAAACCTGTCATTATTGCTTACTTTGATTACACATTTGTTGTTTCCTTTCTTCACACACTAGATTGATGATTCATTTCATGAGACTTGCTACTCTTTTCTTAGGGTTTTTCCTCAAATATTCTTTGCCAAACTCAATTGGCAAATTCAGTTACAGAGATAGGGAGATGGAGTCAAGTGACTCTTTTCACTTTAAAAGAAGGGACATAGGGAGCTGAAAAATTAAGAAAAGACTAGATAGCACAATAGATAGGTACATACACTTTTTATGTGCGGAATTACAGCAGCAACAGTTGCAGCAGATACCAGTCAGTCAGCTGGAAGTGCCAGATTCTGGACTTCAGCCGAGGTTGCAAGGTGGCAACAAAAGGATGTAATATTGAGGGAAGAATAAGAACTAGAAATGCAGCAAACAGAAATGAGTACTTTTACAATCCACTTGGGATTGGGATGAGCCCACCCCACTAAACCTCCTCCACACACACACCCCCCCCAGTTTACCCTTGAAGGACACAGACCTGAAGAGACTGTTCTTGGCCAAACAGATGCTACTTTGTCCTTTACATTTTTATACCTTTTCCCCAGGGCTACTTACCAACCCATTTATTCCCCAAACCTCTGAGCAGGCAGAAGCTACAATTTGAAGGGTGACAGGCCTTTCCCAGAGGGCTTGCTGGAGGCTGGAAGCATAGACCTTCTGGTTCTTCATAACCATTCATCTTGAGTCATCTCTGTCTTTTAAGGATTCTCAACACCTGGAATTTTAGGAGGATATCAGGAGAATTTCTACCTCAGCTTATGATTGTCAGGGTGTGGGGATTTTGGAGTGGAATCATCCATCCCTCTGGGTTCATGCTAGGCTAAATGAGAAATCCAAGCAGCATCAGACAGGTGAGCAGAGAAAAGTCAATTTAATACCACATATGGAAAATGGACGTGGTTGCTGAGGCACGTTAGATAAAAATTCCCAGGCACCCAAAATTTTCTTGTATTTCAGGTTAGTATCTAATTGCATCTCCAGATATTGCCATGTCAATCAGCCTGGCCGGTGGTCTGACAGTGTTAGAATGTCACCTCCTTTAGATATGTTTATTAAGGAAGCAAACTTTTTATTTATACTTACTTTGCATTATTTGCTGCACCAGGCCTGTGACTCTTTAGCAGGAAACAGGAAAGATTTTGTTTGCTTAGCAGTTCCCTTTCAATAGTGGCCCTAATACGTGCACACCCAGTAAGCCGAGTGAACTGAGGGTCACAGAGAGAATAGAGGTGAGGAATACAGTAACGGGAGTACAAGGCCTTTTCATCTGGCCCAGAAACTCTAGCATATGTGGGTGAGACTCTCTTGCTTCCCGAAGCACTGGCTTTCTAGCAGCAGGTCAAAAAGGACCCATCTCTGAAAAACTCTTTGCCTGCTCCTTGCCAGCTTTAGGGACCGTGGGCTTGGTCCATTTGTATATTTTCTGCCTGGGACCATCAGAGTCATATAGAACAGTACATATTTCTTTAGAGATTATCTTTCATGTGTTGCCCACATGGGGCCTACAGCATTTTCTTACACTAGCAGGACTTCCTGAAAAATAATTTGCCGAGTGCCTTGCAAATTATTGTACCAGATGTTATTGCTGTGAGGCCTCATGCAGAATGGAAGATGGGCCATTGGCCTAGATGGTCACTGTTCTCCTTGTAACGTGTTCATCTCTTTCCTCTGGGGGAGCTGGGATTGCACAAGGTGGAGGCAGTTTGCTGGCATGGCTATTTTTTATTGAGTCTGATGACTATGTAACAAGTCCAGCGGGTTTTAAGTCAGTCATCCCTTACAAGGGTGCTGTAGGGAACCCTGAGGCCTGCAGTTTCCAAGCACGAGAGCTGAAAGCCTTTTTAACCCATCTGGATGCCCAGAGCTTGCAACCAAAAGGCAGTAATCGCTCCAGTCCTGATGGAGCAGGACAATGAGTCAGCAAGGTCCTCTTTGTAAGTGCAGGAGTGACTTCTTTAAAAGGAGTGCTTTAGGGAGAGCTGACAATTTGCAAATGCCCCCACTGCTAGGTCTGAAAAACACAGCAATGAAGCTCTTTATCTGTAAACATAGAGTAACTTTTGAAAAGTTTGGAAAAATTGAGCAGTGTTACTCCTCAAGACCACACCCCTTATGGGAACTTGGGAGTGAAAATTTTCTTTCCCTTGCTCTTGGATCAGACTAGAGAATACAGTTGCCCCCACGTGTCTCCAGCCCATACAGATGTGCTGGTGGAGGCCAAGCACGGGTGCCAGGGACATGTCTGTGAATGGCAGCACCACCATGTTCCAGCTGTGTCAGCTGAGCTTCAGCCCCAGTATCTATGAAATGGAGAAATAATAGTCCAGTAAGCTGCCAGAAGGAGGTGATGGTCTGAGGCACACTTGGCACCCGAGCCAGATAACCAGTAAGTGCTTAATAGTGGCTTGACTGCAATGGTGGTGATGAGCTAGCAGGCTTCAAAAATATAGTGAGAGGGCCTCCCTGGTGGCTCAAGGGGTTAAGCACCGCACTATGAAGCAATCCGCAGCCTCTGCAATGCGAGTTTGATCCCCGGCTGGCCAGGGAGAAATGCATATGGCGCAGCAGACCTCTACTGCCTTGCCTGCTGCTCCCCTTAGCAGTGTATTTCATCAGTCTGCCTGTTCTGTTCCCCACTCTGTCTCTGGGAATCCTTTCACCCCCTCCCCCCGCATCTCTGGCCTGTACCCCAGCTCTTGTATGCACAAATAAATAAATCTTTAAAAAAAAAAATACAGTGAGCAGTAGGGTTCTTGTTGTCTTCAGGGTATGGCAGATGATCTGAAACCCAGCAAAGATGTGAAAATCCCCACAGCAATAAGTGTTAGAAGTTCAAGAAAATGCAGTGAGTCTGACTAAGCAAAAAAAAAAAAAAAAAAAAAATTGAAAGAAAAAAGGCCATGCCCAGCATGTAGCAAAGTAAAGCTAATAAAACATCAATCGTGTCCATTTTCCCCAATGCTGCCAGCAACAGTCCCAAGAATCTTGATGTGACCATATTGCAAGTTTTATCCTGTTTAATAAATCATTTGCGTTCAGGGCATTAGAATTATTGATCTTAGTTTGTATTACTCCACCCCTACTTTATAGACTCACTGCTTGTTAGAACATCTCTTCCCCTTGTGATTTCCAATATTAAAATCATCTCTCTATTCCTGGTCTCTACTCCAGCCTGGGTCGCCAGGCCTTGCCTGTTTACCACACAGCTCTCAGAGCTGCACCTCCCGCCACCAGGCTTCGCGTGCTGTAGCCCCAGACGATTCCAGCTCCCTTCAGTTCTAACTTTCACCCTGATTCTACTTCATCTGCTGAAAGGGCAGTCCGGGGCCCTTTTTACCCCTTGGGGTTCGCATGCAGGGGCTGCACTGCCCACCTTAGCCTGTCCCTCCCTGTGGACTTCCCTGTTCTCCCCACCAGATTCTTGTTGATCCCGTGTAGTGTCACTTCATCTCCTCTGGACAGGACATCAAAGGCTTCTCCTCTGCTTCTGAACGTGTGTGATTCCTTTCTGAGTGAACTGGCAGCCACTTGCCCTGGGTGTCTGCCTAAATACACAGCAGATTCTCCCGTCACCAGTCACCATATATTAATAACTCATTCGTATCTAGTGAAATCCATGAACTCTCCCTCCCAATTTTCCTGCTCCACACTCGTGCCCGAGCACAGCTCTCCCATGCTCGCCTAAATGCATTTAGAGAAATTTCCATCAGCTTACGTGGTCATGAGAAGAAGGGACAAGATAAGCCAGTGTAACCTTTGAAGGGCATGTAATTCTATGTAAGAATAAGGCTAAATGGAACGTCACTAAAAAATTTCTCTGAAACGTGTTTTCATGGGACAATAACATGCTTTATAAGTGATCTCGGAGGTTATAACCTTCATCTGTCTTGAAAACGGGTGGAGGGTTTCTCTATATATTTCAGTCTAGCTTCTGTCTTTCAAGAGACTGGGAGCAGGACTGGATAAGGGAGGGAGAAAAGTCTCAGTCTGAGTCGTAAAACGACAAGCAAATCTTGCCTCCTTGAAGTCCCTTCCTGAGGGATCTCTGTGAAATTCTCCAGATCCTTGAAAGTAGGATTTTCTCTCCATAAAAGTGGAGGCATCTTCTTCAGGGGTGTGAAGAAGATGAGCAATAGACATGTAAAAGGGCTGTTTGTCATCCGTGTCCCCTGAGTTGGTGCCCAGCACACAGTAGCTGCCATGACGTTTGGTTAAGCTCATTGGAGGGTTTGCTTTTTTAATTTATGTGTGTCCATTTGAATACTAACTCAATAGCATTAAAATTATAACTGCCTTCAAATTCAAAACCATTAAGTTGTATGATACCAAAGTTATAGCTCAATGAATCTGTAGAAAAGGAAGATTTTTAAAACTTAGAAGATGGAATCTATCAAATTCCCTTCCAAAATTTTAAAGTGATTATTAAACTGAAACTTCTCAGTGCTTATATTGTAGATGATCCATAAATATTGCTTTATTTTGTAGGTCATTTTTCATGAAAACATAAGCCCATGTGCTCCCTTATGTCGCCTGCCCTTAATTCAAACATTAATTGCTTCCTTTGTGCCCTAAGATTGTTATGAGAACCGAACTCAACCCATAGGGAGATTGTTTGAAATTCTTAAAGAACTATATCCTCACGCTTTGATAAATGAGTGTAATTAGCTCCAAAATTTTTGTTCAGAAGCTAAAACTGGTGTCATCCATCATTAAATATTCCCATTAAAATTAATCTTAAAAACGTCAGTGTTTCTCTTAATGGAATAATTAATAGAGAAGAGGGCCTCATTTAATGGTGTTGGAGGCCCCTAGGCTCTTCTGTCTTCCTATACCTGCTCTCTCTCCACTCTCCAATCCCATGACTTCGGTTGCCTTCCCTGACCTTGACTCACAGGAGTCTGCAACCAGGACTTCTTTAAGGAACTCACATGTCTAACTGCCCGTTTGACATCTCCACATGGATATCCTCTCACACTTAGCGTGGACCAAATTGAAGACATATTCCCACAGACTCCCCACTTACCCTGACAACAGATGTCACCATCATGCCTCCAGTTGTTAACGCCAACGATTTTTTTTCTCACCCCACATCGATTGGCTCAGTAGATCTCATTACCTCTGTCCTTCAATGGCATTTTTTCCTCCGATTCTTTCCACCTCTGCTCTTTTCATTTTAGTCAAAGGCACCATCATCTCCCACCTGGATAACTCACTTTCTCCACTCCTGTCCCTGCTACCATCAAGTCTCACACGCATCCAGGGCATCTTTTAAAAATGCACAGCCGCTTGTCACTTTCCAGCAGCAAATCTGTTGGTGCATTCCCACTGCATTTCAAATCAAGTCCAAACACTTTCCCATGAGACCCTTCCTCAGTGGTTCTCATTCTTAGAAAATGATCAGAATTTCAGGGGTGCACTGTCTA